TACCGAGGCTGTCTGAGCCTTCGTTGCCGTAACGGCAGGTAGTGCTGTGGGCGTACTTGCGGCACGTATACGTATGGGATTCCATGCGGTACTAACGTAACTGTTATCGTTCCCCACATCCGGCGTGATAGTGGGCAAGAAATAGTTGGGTTCGTCATGGCGTTGTGCCTCCACGTAATTGGATTCATTGACGACAGTGTCGGGGCTTAGCGCCAATTGGTTCTTATGACGTTGACCTGCCTCGAATGCCTCCTCCAATTCGGGCGCGTCCAATATATGTTTGGTGGTGACAGCCGGTGTGCTATTACGCAAACGCTTACGTTTGGTTTTCACTTTAAATGCCTTCGTAATTGTTGTAGGTGATGGCGTATTTAATTTATTCGCAGGGTGACGCGTTGCTGGTGCATCGGCGGTTGGTATGGGTGAGGATGCCGATTGTGCGTGATTGTCGATGTGCTGATTCTCGAATGTGTGCGGCGGATATGTTTCGTGTTCATCGTTGTTCGATGCCTCGAAAGGAATCGGGTCATATATGGGTACTTCATAACTCGATCTTGGGTAGTCATATGCTGGCGGCATATATTTAGAGTTAATGGGCAAATTATTCGAGGGTGATATGTAGTCAGGCTGTGGATACTGCGAAGGCACGGATGGACTTGGGAGGTTTGGGTCGGGTGGGTCATAGGTAGATGGTGGTTGAGGTGGCTCGGGTGCGCTGTATGCTGGCGGCGGATGTGGCGCGGGCACTTCAAAACCACTTGACGGCGGATGTATTGGTGGCTCAGGAGGCTGATATGAAGGTGGATCTTGGGGCAATTCAGGCACCTCATAAGATGTGGGCGCATGTATATCGGGTGATTGATAAGATGGCGGCTCATGCAAATCGGTTTCTTCATAAGAAGCAATTTCATGTGATTCGGGTATATCATATGATGGAGGTGCATGTGACTCAGGTGGATCATGCGTCTCAGGCGGGTGATAAGATGGCGGAGGAGGGGGTGGTGGAGTTGGACTATATGCAGGTGGTGCTGGGGTTTCAGGTATTCGATACGTAGTTGTGGGTCGATACCCCGATGTTTTGGGTGGATGATAAGAAGGCGTCGGCTCTGCTGGCGGCTCAGCAAAGTGGCCAGGTACTGGTCGATAATCTTCTACCGCTGTAGGCTTATGATTCGATGGTGGTAAGGTGATCTCATAAGAAGGTGAATAGGTGATCTCGACATTGGTTTTCGGCGGTGGTTCGGCAAAGCTAGTATGACCTGATGTTTTCACCGAGTTATAGCCCGCATTTGGTATTTTCTTATCATAAATGCTATAGCTATCGGCGGCTGTTGGCTTTGGGGCGTGATAATCCGGTTGCTTGGCTGGTGGTGTGAAAAGTACCGGTATATTCGTATCTGGTACGCCATACTTTGCGGCCGGTATATGCGTGTTCGAATGCGAACTAGTGTCTACTGGTGTGTAGTCGTAATAATTGCCGTCATGCTGTGGCGAAGGCGTATCGTAGCTGCTCAGCGGGTGCATGTCGTACACATTGTCGGGTGGTATGAACGAGTGCGTATCCTCGTAACCCGAATCTCCGCTGCTGCTGCTTGACATTTCATATCCGCCGCCATGATGCTTCGGTCCTTTGTAGCTTTGCACTTTCAAATATGGCTTTCTAATTTCCGTTTTGGTCGACGTATACGAATAGGTCGGCACCTCTTTCTTCGCATCATATGTGCTGTATTCTATATGTGTGACTTTAGGCTCTTCCGGAAACGAGTGGTCCGTATTGCTGTAGAAATCCAAATCCATGGTTTGATCTTCATAGTGATTACCCTTTTGTGCATGCCCATCATAATCGGCGAAATTAAAGTGATTTGTCAAATCCAATTCGTCGATTGACGAATATTTCGGTGGCTCTGCTATCTCGGGTAAATATTGTTTCGTTGGCTTGTAGTAAGTGATTGGGTGATCGATGCTGTAATTTGGTGGTCCATATTTGTATTTTGGCCACTTCTGACGTCGCCGTGACTTCGTGCCGCGCTTCGAGGACCGCACCACATGCCTTATAACGGTGTACGGGTGTTGCCGACGTTGTCGCACCAATTTCGCTGCTAATATGGGCAATGGTTCTGATAAATTAGTTGCTGTTGTTAACGTTGTCGTTTCAAACGTATTTGCGTTCGTTGTTGTTGTAACTGGTATTATTGTCGTTGTTTCATCTTCTGTGTAAGGTTTTGCCGTTGTGCCGTTGCAAACCTCGCACAAAGAGAGTATTGTGGCATAAATCTGTTGAGAAGAGAGCGAAAAAGTCTTTAAGGAAGCTTACTACTTTTTAGTTTTTTTGCTTTTGCGAGACAGTAATAAATATTCAGAATAAGATAATTTAAAAAAGGTGCTTTTTCGGGAAATTTAATAATCGGTTATTTATTTTGCGAATGTTGGGACTCCCTTGACCCCATAGCCGATACCTCCGAAAATAAGTGTTTGGCGGTGAACGAGATATTTCTGCCTAAATTGTCTCAGACCCAAAAACCCAAAAACTTTAGTCCAACGGCCTACCCGTTCTCTAACATTGGCTATAGGACCTGACTTTTTTTCTTTGATATCATTGGCATTAAAAAGATTATAGGTCATTGTACTGTACTTCTGCCCAATCGGTATCCAGTTGAAAAATCATTACGTCAGTATATTGGAAGAGTCCTGTAGAGGTCTACCGGACACTCACTATTTTCTTCATTTATCGAATGTTATAATTTCATTTACTATTCAATGATTTCCTCAGAACAAAAGTGAATTTCTTAATGGCATGACTTATGCCAACTCAATTTAATTTACTACCAAAAATGGTTGAAATCTCTCTATAACTTCGTGCAAAACTCTAGCAATGATCTTAGTCCTTCCTCCTTTCAAGTCCACAAGTCAAACATTGAAAATATTTTTAAGCTCAACAACCTTGAATAAAAGTAACCTCGCAGTGGTTGTAAATCTGTGAATATCAAGGTTGAAATATTTCACTTTGTTCTTCAGTGAATATTGGTTTCTGACACACAGAAGTCGATTGTCAAACATTGTCAATTATTATCAATTTAATGCACGCGTTTTATGGTTATTCCTAATTAAATTTAACAATGAAATTTGATTACAACCGAAACTGAAAGGTGGTGGCTGGCGGGTGTCATAACAATGTAGAAAATTGTAATACAGCTTTTACTATAAATACAGGGCTAGTAAACAGGTATTTGTTGGAAATTAAAAAAAAAAAAAATAGATTTTTTATGTAACAGGTATGCCGTTAAGCAAGCACGTCTTAGGATATTTTTTTTGTAAAACTACATTGTACCGACTATCAATACCGACTATCAATACCCGGAAATTGTAGGCAAGACGCAAAATGTCGCCTTCAAAGTATACAACACCAGATGTAATACACTTTTGCCAACATTTTTTTCAATCCCTGGAACACTTTTCGTAAGTACTTTTTGGGATGGCCTTCAGCTCCTTCATGCAATTTGTTTTATCTTTTCGATCGACTGAAAACGGGTTCTCCGATCTGATCGATGGCATCCAATGCGCTATTGGCTTTATACTCGGTCACAATCGTACTCTTTTTGAAAGAAATTCAGCTTAATCGGGACGAGTCGAGCAAGAACGACTTGTGATGACGATGTGACTCTTGCCATCTCTCTTGCCATCTCTCTACGCTTGGCGATTTTCGCGCACCATATCTTTCACTTTTTTAACATTTTCATCAGTTGAAGGGGTCGAAGGTCGTCCAGAACGAGGTATGTCTTCAACAATCTCTCGACCGTGTTTGAACGCTTAGTACTAATCATAGGCTTATGTTTTAGATTAAACTGAATCACAGCAAGACTCTTCCAACATTTGCAATGATTCCACACATTCCATTATGTGAGGAATTCAAAATATGTGGCAAATTCTTTGTTCGATATTTTTATCCACTGCTGAGGTGTACCGACTTAAGCAACCGCTGTAAACATACTGGTTAACAGATCGCGCTCATATTTGGCTTAGTAATTAAGGACAATCTTACCAACTTAGCTAAATACAGTTTTTTGAAATATCATTTACCCGGGGAATTTAAATACAATTAATAATAAAAATAAATATGTAACTTGCTTGCTGGTAAAGCAATTGTAGGCCGCGCTAGTAATTTAGCCTACAGTGAATCGGGTATCCCAGCTCCCGAAATAGCGCTAAAAGTAGAGCACTGCATCCTTTTGAAAAATCTCGACGTATGCGAAAACAATTAAAAGAACTTGCCCTAAACCAAAGATCGGCGAAAAGTGTTATAGAGAGAAAAGACGGTTAGCTGTCAAAACAACATCAGCCCTAACCAAATAGGAAGCGAACTTTCTCTTAATATTACAAAGAGAAAAATTCAGCAAGTTTTGAGTGCTCGAATTTGCAGATAATCATTAGTTTTAGGATGATGTATGACAATCCACAATTTTTTGCGATGAAAAAATTAATTTGAATGGAACCATCGGATTGATAGAAGTATTGGAGAGATATTCGTGAACCGCGACAAATGCACCACTTGCGAATTTTCCACGGTGACTCCTTTATGAACTAGGCTGCTTTTAGTAAGACACCAATAAGTTTATTTTCTCATAGGATGAATGCAGAAAAGTACGTAGAAGTATTGGATAATATTTTATTAAATTTTGTAAAAAAGTTTCTTTGAGTGTTGAAGACAATGCTCAAATTGACAGCATTGAGCGTATCGCTTCGAAAAATATTCTTGTGTTGAAGTGGCCTGCAGTTGGTCGTTGGTCCAGACCTCAATCTAATGGAGAACCTTTGGAGCATTCTTCGCAATCAAATTTATAAAGACCAATTGCAGCTCAAAAGAAGGAATTCAAGAAGAATGGGCCGAAATCGATCTCAGTGTCCTTAGGGAACTCGTATATCTATTTCCTTCTACGTTCTTGAAAAAGTAAAAACTTCTACAATAAAAAACTGAATAAAATTCTTAAACATGTTGTATTCGAACGTTTGCTCTCTTCACTTATTTGAAGGTTAAAAATATTTTACATTGATTTTTTATGATAAAAGAAAATCCATTTGTTCAGTGTTCCATATAGTTATTTTGCTCAGTGTATGTTCGTGTGAAGTTTGATCTTCGGCTTTTACCCACGTTTATTTCATTGCACATACATATGTTCATATATGCCTACAGTATCAAACGTTACCCTGTTTGAATGAAATCATTTTTCAGGCTTTACTGAAATTTTCACGAACCTACCGACCCACCCTCTACTTCTATATGAAGAGTTTGTGCACATATGTAGGCATTTATTAGCGATTATCGATATTTCTATTGTAATCTGCACAGCTGTGTGTCGACGACTTCGCCCAAGTGTGGAAAACACGTCCAACAGCTGCGCATGCGTGATCATTGTGGCTGCCAGTTTATGCACTTACACTCTCTGCGCATGCTAAATGCATATCTCCACCTATGTACGCATGTGTGTATTTATATAAATGGCAATAGGTGTAGTAATCCAATAAATAAAACTATAAATGGCAAAAATATCAATAAATAAACACAGAAATCCCGACTGGATAGCCAATGCACGCCGGTTTCTTTCTTATTCATTCATTTATTTTTCAATTAATCAGTTTTATGTAAACAGGAGTGTTCATATCACAGATCACACACCGGTTATTGCGTGCGTAATGGATTTGTTGTCACCGTTAAGCCCGATCGCTATCGTTCAATGACTTTTTAACTTTTCTATTGACTTTTGTTTGCGCTTGTCGTGTTTTCTCCTCTACTAGATAACGAGATTGTTATGTTTCGCCGTTCTGTGGGTCCTAGTTGTTGGCCCAACGCTGCATGCTTGTGTGTAGTTCCCACGCTTTATCGCCGCGCATGCGCACACTTTTGACAGCGTTTTTTCACTATTTTTCGGCACTTTCACTTTTCAACAACGCAATCGCATTTGCTCGAGCACATTACAGGTTACTACTTACGAGGATTTGCTAACAAATATTTACATAAAAGTTTTGAATATCGAGTTTCAGTCTGTGCCGCAATTGAGTCATAAACTTGTACGGCTCGTTTAGCGCAACTGTTTTTAGTTTTCTGCTTATGTATTAGAAGCGCGCTGCAAATCGCTTTTTCATTATATCTACTTACTTTCGGTCCCATAATAAATGTGAATTGTGCTTTCTTGCAGCTGGTATGCCGTAAGAGACCTCTAACCCTGGTCCTGATATATTACCGACTTTTTCCTCTCACTTTTCAAATACGTGTCGAGTATTTAACTTAACTTAAGGTGAAGATAGTATTTGTCACGTTTTTATAATTTTTTTTTCTTAGTTTTACTAAACGTAAAAGTTGGGAATCAACAACCATTAGAAAATCTTCGTGGGCGAGCAACAATCTTCACGAAACTCGTCATAGAGTGATCTACAATCTCGATTGAATCCACCATACCACCATAGATAAACAAAGGTCCTTGATAGGCCTTCTTTGCCAAGACTTGAAAAAAGTTCAGCGGCGCTGATTTAATCCGTGTCGAAAGTTGACAAAAAAAAAAAAAAAAAAATTAATTTCATTACATGTCGTGGACGAGATAACTATTTAAAGTTAGTGTAAAAAACATAAATAGCGCTCGTATGTCAAAACGTTCTGAGTATATTATGCATAACATTGAAAATATAAAACTTGACGATGAAGTTGTGGGTTGTCAGATTGAAACACGAGGGAAATAAAAAAAGGTAACCAACATACATAATGGCGATGTTTGCAGCTGAAATATATCTCAATATCTCATTTATATTATAGGGGTTACATCAGAAGTACATAGTCCCTTAAAAGATTTATATATGTATTATACGTATAGTATTTATTTGTGACCGATTAAAATAATCGAGACGCATTGTACTTAGGACGTCTGTCTTTAAATTGGATGAAATTTGAGATATCGCGATAAAATACTTTTTGCTGTATACTCAAATGAAATTTCTATTACAACTCGTATGAAAGTGTTAAAGGTGTTATGTGGAGTTTACCAAAGGCAGAGGTCTAATGTATGTAATTTCCAAACATTTTAACCTATCTCAGACTCAGTTAACTACCTCACCACCAAAACCTGACTAACCTTCAAACTTCTAAAAGTATGATATCTGTGAATTAAATGGTAGCTAGGCTTCACTAAGCGTTAGAGCTTTATATGATTCATTTTAAAAATTGCATTGTGTCGTCGTATTAATCAGTTTTGGGTAAAATTTCCCCACCAATTTCAACCAAATTTGCCAAATGGCGTTCTTTTAGTAAAATAATAAGCAAAATCGGACCACAATCAGGACACATACCCTCTATATAATACTGCTTTGAATACTACAAATTTTACATAAAATAACTCGAACATTATCAAAGAGATAGAAACCACAAAAAAGGCGAAGGATATATAATATAATAGAACGGGTCGAATTATTGTAAGAGTAAAAAGAAAAAAATTGCGTATGAGGGAACTGTCCTATGGACATCATGAAGAACTTTGCCTCCTATGGGATTATCGGCCTAAAACCTGTTTTCGCGGCAGCGATTTTTTAGGCGAAAAGGAGAGAATGGATCACTATAGCATATAGCTGTCATACAAAATGAACGATTGGATTCAAGTGCTTGTATGGAAAACTTTTTTATTTGACGAGATATCTCCGCGAAATTTGACAAGGATTATTATCTAAACCAACAGAAGAATTTTTTGTATCTGTGAAGGATATTACAGTACAAACGAAATTTTCGTTTTTTTTTTTTGTTGTTGTCAATATAAAAGCGACATAATGACATTATTACTGATTAAGAAGAGTGGCAAGTTCGATATGTTCTTTACCGCCAGGGCATATTAAGTTTGTTACAACCAGAAGGAAATTAAAGAAATCAGCATGACGAGGCTGAAACTGTACACACGTCTTTTTTTCTCTAAGAAGCTTCTCTTTTGTCAGAACCGCCGATATCGGAACACTATAGCGCATTACATATTGCCATTTCATCTCAACTCCATTCTGACAAGTTCGAGTAATTTCCAAAACAATTTTTACTTTTCGCCTTAGGGTATTTTCGATGAGATTCTAGGTCGAGCCTTCCTCACTACACTAGTCGTCTAAGGGAGGGGTTAGGGTTTCAAGGGGGAAAAAAAAATTCTTGCGAATTTTTTTCTTAACAAATATGGATTGAGTAATTTTATTCGGACCTCTTGTTCATTATTGGGCACACTTTATACAATATAGGGTAATTTTTTTTTTTTTTTTTTCATTCAGAAATATTGAAGCACAAGTCGGTAACAGAACTGCCCGCAAAAAGTCTTATTCGAAAAATAAATAAAAAACCTGAAAAATTACTCAAATTATAATCAAATCTTTACCCCAAATCTTACCCCCAAGATCAAATCTTTACCCCAACGTATATTTTTTTTTTTTCATTTAACAATTTTTCCATTATTTTCCGCTAAAAATTCCGCCATTTTGTGGGTGGAAAACACACACTGTAAAAAAAAATGAAAATGATTAGCTCTTGAAATTTCTGTTGCTGTAGTTCAGCAACTTGAGAGCTCGACGCTTAAAAAGCTCTGTTGCCTTCCATGACGCGGCTGATTTCGCACGTGTGGGAGGGGCATACCCTCGCGTTAGTTTGCAGTTGGGCGGTAGTATCGTAAACGTAGGGTCTTAATGTATTAAAATCATTATTTTATTTACTATTAACTATATTCTTCTTATTCYTTATCTACCTATGTTAACATTATTCATGTATGCTTCACTTTTCATAAAATTTATGGTTTTGTTGTTAAAAACAACTTTTTATTCACTGATACATTTTTCATGTTTTGCAATTAATATTTCCTTGTTTCCTTATCAATTGCCATTATTTTCAATTTGTATTTACATTATTATTACACCGCCAACTCCCTGTTGCCTCACATTTGCCGCTGATCGCATTTTCATTTTCCGCATAGCCAACACATTTTCGAATTCGATTTTCGCGGAAGCGCAGAACGCTTTCACTTCACTGCCTTCGATTGAGTGTGTGTTTCCTTTTTGAATATTTCGTTTGCATTATTGGAATTTTATACAAAATGCGTTAAGTAGACAAGCGCTTGTCCCTTTTATTGCTTTAACACAATTTATCTTGCTAATTATATTTTTACCTACAATTTATGGTGTTAATTAGGAATTACATAGTTGCCAAGCGCACACGCGAGTCTTAAGACAAACGCATTGTTATTTTTGTTTTTATTTATGCCGACAGCAAACACATTTCACTCTTAACTGACTKGCAGCTAAGTACWTGGAAACAAGCGCCGCCATATATTACCATTTTTAATTACAATACTTATCTGCTTAATTCTTTTTTTCATGTTTCCAATTGTGTAATTATGTAATGCAGCGACAAGCTGCTGCTTTTGAAAAACTTTTATTAACTAATTGCTATTATTTTCGCTACATGAACACTTACAACGAATTGCCACAGTCGCCGCATGATCACCGTTGTAATGCGCTGTGAACTCCACGGGTTGTGCTTTGCGTTAAACGGCAGCAGAACTCACAAATTTTCATTTAATTTCAATAATTTCGGGTATTAAATCGGTTATACATTTGGTTATACTATACATATATGTGTAATCAATGCAATTTTTTATGCTKTTAAATATTTGTCTACAAAATCACCGTTATATTTCGTGCKTGTGGAAAATTTTTTGTTCACCAAGTTTTTGTCGCCAGCTCATTCGGCAATTCACTCGCGCTCATCACGTCTTTCACGTTGACTTTCTTTCAGCTACTAAACCCATCGCAAGAAAGTGGTCTTGTTTTTAATGAAAATGCAGGCAACTAACCAAATCGTGTTGCCGCCGCTGCCGCTGCCACTGCCACTACTAAAACTACGAGTCTACATATGTATGTCGGCATGTATGAATGTATGTGCATATGTGAGAATGAATGAAAATAGACGTTTGTGTTCACACTGGAGTTGCTGCAGCTTGCTTTTTCGACTTCTTTTGCCACTGTCAGGGCCACTACAGTAGCTGTTGTTGTTGTSATTGTTTGCCTCTTAGGTGGCAGCAATTGTTGCCGCCTGCTCACGAGCAACTCAATAATGTGAGCTTTGTGTGTTTTGTTTAGCACTGTGTGGCGCCACGGCCTGGCGTTTATTTCTATCTGCAGACGTTGAGCTGGGCGCGCTCATCGTTTGCTGCATCCACGAATTCTACTGGACGCGTGCTTTTCCTTATAAGTATATGTACACTTTCCGGTTTTTCACATGGCAAGATATAGTTGYATTATTTTCACAGCTTTCGTGGGGTTGGGTAAAACAAACTTCAAATTTTGTAGTCTAATTGGGGCCTTCACAGCAGTAAGTCTTTATATTGTGTGATCAGTGGTCAGAAATTCGCCTCTCTCTTTCAAAAATTTGTTGTACTATTGTACAGTTTAAAGCAAGGACTTGATAGTTATGGCAACAGAGTTTTTATTTTGTAAATGATTTCTTCTGCTTTGGAACCAATAATAGTGCCAGAGGCGAGTCCAAAAAATTGCTTCATACAAATTTTAGATTTCGAGTACACAGTATATCCCCTTAAAATAATATTCAATTTTCGGCGGTTTTCAAGATTAAATCAATGTGGCATCCAATTCGGGTCAAAAATATTCGGTAATCTTTGAGTGGTAGCGACTCCCATTTACAGTACCGTGTCGGTCTTGAACTTCATATCTATTTGTTGTTTGAATCCGGTGAAACTCCAGGTCCCTATGTCTGTCTAATCACAAATGTTCGTTCGATATCACTCTGTAKGTTCACCGTCCTTTGTATGAGGTTTGCCACCGWTGCTGTCAATTTGTAATGCTCGTGATTCTCTATTCGTTTATGGCTTCTATAGATGTTTGTGACTTTATTCAATCGAGATTGCTTATCACTTAATCCTATGAGCATAGCGTATCCATATAAAAACCGTTGTGACTGCAGATAATAGAATTTAAAATTAAGTCTTTCAGTTCTTAGGAATACCATTTATAGCATATAGGCTAATATAATCACGGACCCTCTGATTCGATTAACAATTCGTTTTCGTTCTTTTAACTCAAAAAAAAAAAAAAAAAAAACTAACAACAAAACTAAAATTTTGAAAGAAATTACTACCTCAAAAATCGCTGAATTAGACACATCTAGGAAATAAAAGGTTTTCTCGATACAATCATCAACATTTAGTTCCTTCATCACCACAATCTATTCTCGTTTTGCTCTAAGCACAAATGCGAAGAAATTTAAAAAACTAAAATCAGCTATACTTAGTTACTTTAGACTTCAGCTTTCTCGTTTAGCTAAATACCTTATCGAAATCCCTTAACGTGAAAATTAAAACAAAAAGTACCAAACATTAACCCCCACTCGACGAAAATGTCATGGACGCCCATGTCCGATGTCAAAACTCCCCACAGTTTTCCACTTAAGTCCACAAGCTTCCAAAACGAATTTTCGTTGCGCTACTGAGCATCATCAGTATGTGTTTTGTATTTTTCAGCAGCCGAKTGGCTTAAGCGCATTTGAAATCAATGCTGAAGCCGCGCTCAAAGCCACTGTGCGACTTCATGGAGCCATCAGTGGCATGCGCTCCGTGCCGCAGGTGAYTAACGGGTTGCGTCCGCCTTTAGTTCCGCTGCTGTAAACCCACTGATGGTGTCTACTTTATCGCGACTTAAGCTTTATTGCCAGCATTAAAGTCAATTTTTCGATTTTTGTGTCTTCTTTCTGCCGCTTTAGCCGCACATTACAACGAGTGTTTACGGTTGTATGTRCACATTAAATACATGTGTAYGACGYCGCAGCTGTTGCGGTCACATTGCCCCAATGACATGGCGCCTGACTGTGTAGCTGAGTTTGCTTTGCAATTTCCATTTTTGCAATTTTTCATTGCTCAGTTTTTSTATTGTGTTATTTGTTTGTCTTCAGCTAGCCTATTTTTGCTCTACATTTATTTAATTTTCTTTGAAAATTTGTTCACAATTTYGTTTTCTTTGTAAGTTGCGCTATTTCCTCTAATGCTATTCAGTTTTCYTTAACTTTCGTTTTCTCAGCAATATTACAATAGGCGGAACTCTTTATTATTACCACAAAGCATTTGGTTGCACAATTTGTTACCTGGCATTGATTAATTTGTTAACAAACTTCGTCGCAATTTTCCACGCCTGCGCCTCTGAGTTGGCTTCTTTGCCGCTTATTATTGCTGCAGTTGTTGTGTTGTTGCAAGGAAAAGTGTCACAAATTGTTTATGAACTACCGAATAATCTCGTGGCTTGCCAAAACTCAATTAATGTCTTGCCTTGCTTACGTTTTTCCCTACTCCCATCAAAGTCAGGTCGTTGAAAGCCCCTGTTAAGAGGTACTCAGCATTGCGCGGCATGTAAAAAGCGGGAAAGTGATTTTTTGCCACTTGCTGTCGGCAGTGCTGTTACCTCATCGTTGAACTTGAACTTTTGCGTTTTACTATTTTCTCATTTGTTTTTAATTTTTTTTTGCTGGCTTTACTCTCATCTTTGTTTGGAGAAGTGTTCGTCGAAGATTGCAATGTCTTGCCCATTTGCTTATGTTACGCCTGAGAGGAAACCGGTTTGACTTCATTATACTTTTAGACGTTTTCTACGTCTTTTCAAAACACACAGGGTGTGGCAGCTTTTTAGCTTGGTAACAGGCTTATATACATATATGTGTGGTACAAAGCTTCCTCAAATGCAATTTATCTAGGCCTAGTCAAAAGGAGCCTATTCCCCCGACTTGAAATCGTTTTGGTCATTGAAATGATAATCTACAAGGAACTGAACTGTAGAATAGGCAGCACTTCCGAAGTGTTTATCTCTAAGAATTTTATTCGGGTCGATTTAAAATTTTGGGAGTATATYTTAAACATACTGTACTATTTAGCAAACAAAAAACAAAAAATTCTTTATGTGAAATTTTCAAACCCACCTAACACTTAAATAGACCAGTCCATCTCAAATTTGATATTGATTGTGGATTATAAAAAGGCTGTATTACGCGCGAATTCGAACGTCCTTAGCTATTTCCGCGCAGACATTTCTTGTTGCATACAGATTTTTGCGTTATGAAGTCACGTGATTTGCACCCAAAMAATTGACTCGTTTCCAACTGCATGCAGACAACTCCGACGTTTTAGTGCTTTTGAAATTGAATTAAATGATTGTCTTTGTTTTTGTGCAGAGCATCGCTATCGCCTCATCTATAGCAAATACTTCCACATATCCACAGACACACACATAAACATGTACACATATTAAGCTATCTTCTGCTTGTGCATAACATTTTTCCGTCAGTCTCTTGACGCATGTAACCATCAAACATACATTTGTATTACATATTTACAATGTGTACACATTTATTGTTGTGTGTGTGTGTGTTTCCTAATTTCATGCATTGCAATCACTTGTCTGCGCATGCGTGCAAACCGTGTGGGCTTTCCTCTTTCTTAATCACTTGCCTGCCGTTGTTACAATTGCTATTATGTTAGCGTTGAGTGGCGTTGTTGTTATTTTTGTTGATGTGTTATTGTTGTTGCAATTGCACGCTTGGCATGACATAACATTTGGTAATAGCAGCAAAATGTATTTAGCTGCTTGTTGCGCATCAGATTTTTTGCAGATGATTCACTTGTCTCGTTTGTCAGCCGACAATGTTGGGTTGTGGCCCCTGTCTGTGCCAACAAATGAGCGTAGATCATTGCCGCAATTAGCATAATTCGACAGTAAAAGATGCACGGCTGGTGGGTAGACTATTTGCATGTACATGTGTGCATGTCAGAAAATTTGCAAGTGAATATGCTTGTTAATTGAACGCGTGGATTTCTTGTACTCGACTTTTGGCGCGCCCTGCAGTAATATTCGAAAAATGCCGAACTGATGCCATGTTGTCTTTTAAGGAATATTATGGAATTAATAATAGACTTCAGTGCTGTCATGTTGTTGAAATAATAAATTTTAAAAATATATTGAGGAATGTTGTTTAGATGTTGTGATATAAAGTGTTATCCTTGTTACTTACGCAACTTTGACTGTTCTGGGAACCGTTCTCGGTTTGACCAACCCAAGATCATTATAACCAGCTTCGGGATAGAAAAAATGATGTTACACATGTACAATCTAGCAAAACAAATAATTCTAGTATATCGAATTTATGTCCAACTATCGATATTATTAACAACCCACCGAGGTTTTCTCGGTAAAAAACAGATTAAAAAAAAAAATTCCCATATAAAAAATTAAATATTTTATTCGATTTTTTTTATTGTTAAACATACACACATACACTATTAATGCAATTTTGAAATTTTTGGAAAGAAATATTTTAATATTTTTTTTTTAGTAGTTGTAATCGAAAAAAAGTCCTTCGTCCAAGTCTTTAAGAATTGTTTCTCAAAGACCTGTGTAAAGTTTCATTAGGAATGGGTGAGTAGTTTAAAGATGGCGCATTTAGCCTAGCTAGCCTCGAGCGCACAAGATCTGAAAGTTGTATCTCCGAAACTAGTACTCATATCGACTTGAATAATTTAGCATAATATTCTTGAGGTATTGTAGATATTAATAAGACAATAAAAAAATCGTTTGTTTGAAACCCGTAAACCCATGTAATTTGTGAAAAGCTCAAAGCGCTTTTTCGTTTTATTAGCGTCTATATCATCGATAGTAGAATGGTATATTAATTCATTTGAAAATGCTTACTAATCTCATATCCCATTTAAATATTTTTTCTCTCCATTTATTGATTTCTTTTTTTTCCATTTCTATTATCAAGTGTTTTAATTCACTTAGAGTCTTAAATTCAATTCTTCCAGGTCAAACCTTTGCATGATGTGTATCAACGTGAAATCGAATTGAACCTTTGGGAGCCAATCAATCGTTATTGGGCTGAATGTTACGAGGCCTGTAAAGCAGCCTCGAAGAAACGCGGCACTTATCAAGCAGAAAATCGACGAATTTTCAATGTGAGTATTTTATGTTAAGACATAAAGAATGTTCAGTTTGTATATCCCGTTATCGTCATTCCCGACAAATGAGCGGCTTCTTCAGCAGCTAAAAGTCAGATCGTTATCTCAAAGGCTGTAGAACTTTATAGACAGTAGACAGGCGGACAGACAGACGAACATGTCTAAATTTACTCAGCTCATCACGATGATTATTTTTATGTACATATATTTTAAAAGACACACATAGTCCAGTTTTGGTATTTTGCGATACCAGATGGAACTCAGTTTCTAGCTCCAAGAAGAGTAGTCATCCTTTAGGATTGCTACCTTTTCTCACTATGTCCAAGATTACCTCAAGGCATTTGGTGCGATCTTTGAGAAAGAATTGTGTCCCATTTATTGAAGGGAATCTCCATAGAGTAATTTTGAGCTTTCTTGTGAACACAATCATATCCGTTTTCTCCGGGTTCAACCCCAGACCCGCTTACGATGCCCAATTCTGGACTGTATGGAGAGTGGGTGCTAATAGTCCGAGGGTACCTATTACTAAGATGGCAATGTCGTCCGCATATGCCACTGTCTTATCAGCCTTGACTTCCAAGTTTCTTAGCTCTTTATTTACCACTAATGTCTATTTAAACAAACTTCCTAGGTTAATTTAGGTCGATCCATTCTGCTGTTATACGTCTAGAAGTCAAAATTCTTTTGATCCATCGTTGTATAGCAGAATCAACCCATATTGACTGAAAACCGTTCAGAATACTTAGATTCTACCTGTCTTCGGTATGAAAACTACTGTGTGACACATACCTAAACTTCATTCATCCTCTAAAAATCGCCTTTGACCATGGCTTATCCCTGCCATCAGAGCGCATTCTGTAGCTTGTAATGGTCGAATGAGCGGAGTGCCCATTCAATTTTATTCTCCGTAAAGATGTGTGCGAGAACGTTTGCCGCATTACTTCCTTTGTAGCGCCTTATAGCCCGGAAAGTGCACCCTACTAAGTAATCCAATGAGTCCTGGCAGTTGTCCGTCCACTCTCAGCTATTTTTGCCAATTAGACCTAGAGAGGTGGGTCTTTTGGGTAATAGTTTTCTAAGTCTCGCCAGCTCGTGGGTCTTTTCAAATCCAATAAAAAAGTAAAATAGAATCCAATTAAATTGAAGTAGAAAATTTTTCAATTGCTATTTCAGATTAAAATTTTTTAATTTTCTGTTCGATATTTGGAATGAAAATATGAAAATTATTTTTAATTTCATTTAAATGTTAATTCAATTATTTTTAATATATTTTTTGAAACCCTGAATTTCAGTAAAAAAAAATTTAATAATTTTTGTATTAATTTTTTCAATTGAATACTTCTTACTGATTTTTTCTATAAACAATAATAATCTCAATTAGTATTTAATTCTCATCCATCGTCTTTTTACAGCAAAAAATCGTAATGCCTTGGAAGGTACGACAAGTCGAGGAGATGACACGTCTGAATGCCGCTACGCTTGCGCAAAAAACCACAAATAGTCACATCAAGAAGCGTTGGAAGATGGCCAAACGTTTTTTGTATGGACCACGTGGCCCATGGTTTACGGGGTAAGTGAAATGAGAAGCGCTCAGGCGGGTCTAGTGCCAGCTAGTCCAGCATGTAGTGGGCAGCCGCAATTTGTCTGCCGTGCCTTGTGCACTCGAACGCGTCATGACATAATCACGACTAGCAGCGATCGCACGCCTTTCCCTTTTCGCTTGCGATTTAATTGTGGAATTCACAGCGTATAACTGAGCTGCAAATTGTATTAAGTATTGTGCAGTTATAATTTCACTTTATGAATACTTACTTACCTTACTTTTGGCTGTCGCATTGTAGTGGCGTGCTGAATGTGCCAACGAACTACGGCGATTGTAAGACGAGTAATTAAGTTTATATTTTTAGCTAAGCCACTGGATAAGACACAAACGAATTGCGATTTTAATAATGCGCTGACGGATTTTTTGTGTCTCGTTTTCTTTGTTTTCACATATTTTCATCTCATTTATTTGATTTTGTTTTAACTTTTACATGGTCTCTTTGCCTCGTCGCTCATTTCATTTCGAGTAATCAAGGTAATCAAAATTTGATTCGTAACAGTTGCAACGGATTGAACGTGGCGTCTTTAAATGATGTGCAGGCACTGCGTTTAAATCGTTTTTTATGAGAAACTCGGCAGCACCGCGTTAAACTCAACTTAAATTAAAACGTATAATTGTGCTTTTAATATGATTTTCTCTTTATCTCCAGCGTCGTGGCGAGCACAGCCGCAATCAAGGTATCGATTTACTTTCTAACTGAAATATAACTGTTATTATTTTTCAGTTTTTAATTAGGAATTCATGTGACAGTCTCGTTGACGTTTTCGCAGCTGAGATTTATGTGATAGTTGTACATTTTTGTTTTGCTCTTATGGTCTCAGTTTTAATTGAATAGTGGTGGTGTCAGTCAATTCGGTTAGTTAGAAAGCCAATGTATTATGTGATCGTGTTTACGGTACTTTAATGTTTAATTTTCTTAAGCTTTATTAATTTCACAGTGCGATTACTGACCTTCGAATTGTACACGTTTTTTGTTTTTACCAAAAGGTGTGCAATATGCAAGTGTATCGATTTTATGGTTGATATGAAACTCTTTCACGAAAATTTATACCAACTATGTGGACAGTTTTAAGATTTCAATAGCAACTGATATTCATCTGGTATCGCAAAGGACAAAACTGATGGCGTGGCTTGGCTCATGGGCCTACCCGATTAACCTGACCTAACTTTTAAAGTTTCAAGGCCTTATACTCTTAATTTAACTTCTTAAGATTTTGTTATAATCTGAACTGGGTATATTAAGTTGTCATAGAAGTTTCTATTACCCAGATAAAAACGCCGGATACTCTTTAAAATATCTATACAAAAGATAATCGTGACAAGCTGAGTCGATTTAGCCACGTCCGGTCTCGAGACACTCGGCACAAACGAGTAAGCGTTGTCTACGCCAATATAGAAGAAGAAGTTCTTGAGGTATTGATCTGGAATTTCTCACAAGTTTTTTTCTAGCCAAGAGGGTGCTCAGGTGTTGAAAACACCAATATCCGACCACTACAGGATATAGCTGCCATACAAACTGAACGATCATTTACTTCGATTAAGCCCGTTAGTCAATGCCTCTCGATAACCTTGTAAGGAGATTTAACATTCACTTGGCCAAGATGCCCCTCCTATTTGCCTTATTTCTCTCCTACAACAAATTGTAGATCCCTCGCTTTGTGATTCGAATACTCCTTCAGCATAAAATTCAACTTGTTATATGATTTAGGTCAATAGGCTTGAAGCAAGCCTAAGTTATATCTATTATAATAAAATGAATGATTAATCAATTTTCACATTAAAATTATATAGTTGATAAGCCACTTATGCAAAACACCTTCGCAATTTCATTGACATTGTGCACGCTGCGCATGCGTGCAAGCCGGACTCTTAGAACGGTCACTATCAAGACATTTTCGCTGCGACAAGTGTCCTCGACTATCGAAATCGAGTTCTTAGCCGAGTAAAATATCAATTGCCGCTTGACATATTTGACAAACTCACACAAATTAAAATACCTTGCATTTTTCATCAACGCTTAAGTAATTGCGTGCGCGTGTGTGTGCGCGACGCATGCGTGCCGAAATCCGTTCTGCTGCGACCGGTGGGGCGCGTCCACTAATTGCTTGCCGTAAATTGAATAAAAAGAATAAAATAATTCGATAGCCACATTTGCATAAGCAAAAATAAATAATACAACCATAACAGCTATTGCACTTGATCTAATTTAACCGGACGGACAAGCAACTGAAACGCAATGCAACACCCAAGCCAGTTGTCGATTGAGACAAATTTTTTGGTTTTCTTTTTTATTACAACTCATTAGGTGCTCAATATTTATTTATTGTCTCTTTGCCTCAAATGTACATATGTGTGTGTGCATTTGGGTTTCTGATTCTTCATTGCGTATTGCAAATGCACACAGCTGTTAATTGACTTGTAATCGATGTTTTGATTTGCCAACACCTTGAAAACGATTTCATTAACAAATGTGAATTATTTTGAATGTCAATTGAACTGATTTAACTCTGCTTTGGAATTGCCATAGTAATGAATTGAAATTGTACCGGTATTTTAGTAGAACTCAGTTAGTAGCCAGCGATTGTGGTTATTACTTAATAATTTGTAGTAATAATTAACTTTGTTTCTTGTCGAATCTTTTTTTCGAATATAATTAATTATTTTCGAAAAAACAGTAATTTGAAAATATTGGGTTTTTTGTGCTCGAAGATCGCTCTTTTAGCTTTGTTGCACAACTCAGAATAAAAGTTAAATTAACATTGAGATATTTGCTCGATACTTGATAATCATGGTTTTCAAGAGTCGTTGCATGATCATCTAAGGAGCGATTTTAGCACCGTGGCAAGAAAATATGTTGACTTAAAATTTTAAAGACTGTTCTGATATCCGCAATTCCGACAAATTAGCAGCTTCTTTTTTTTTTTGGAAGACGGGAGCAGGTGCAAAATTTCTCATTGATATCTCAAAACTTGAGTGTTAGTATGTGTATATGCAGACAGACGAACAGACAGTAGGGCGTGGCTAACAAGATGCAACTCGTCACGCTGACTATTTATACGTAGGTTGCCTTTTATATTTCGGAATTTCGCAATCCCAATGTTGTAATAGGAACTTTACCGCAAATTTTGATCTTTTTTATGTTTTGCGTACTTAGAATATTTTGATATGCGAGCGCTATTTATGCTGTTTACAGTAACTTAAAATATTCAACTCGGTCAAAAAATCGGTATTCATGTTTTTACAACTGCCGACGTGGATTAAGTCAGAAACAGAGAATCGATGAACTTATTTCAATTTTTGGTGATTAAGCGCCATCAAGGACCAGTGTTTAACGATGCAATGACGAATACAATCCAGGCCGTAGATTACTCCAAGACGAATTTCCTGAATGTTCGTTCAAAATCAGTTGTTGTTCCGGTAACTATTTATGCTGTGTGCCAACTGATAGTCAAGTGATCTATCGTGAGATTTTTGATAAATATAATCATTGGATTTTAAGAAAAATCTGTTCACGTTGAATTAAACACAATTTGTCATTCGCTCAAAAGAAACCTCGTTCTTTGACAATTGGTTCAAACAAGTGTTAAATATTTGGATATTTTCCAAAATTCCACTTATACCAGAGTTCACTGTTTACGCATATGTGTACTTATATTATGTGTGTACTTTTATATATTAATTTGCAATAAAAGTTTTATTACTTCACTTCATCTGAAACTTTAGTTGTCCACACCCAATTAACTTGTAGATCACCACCGAAAATTGCACCAAATATACATACAAATACTCATATTTATATATGCAAGTAGGCTTACATTGAAAGTGCATTAGCTGATGTAATATCCGCCGAAATTTTCCAATTTTAATTTTACGCATAATTTTGGTGTGTTGATTGGTCACATGGGTGCCACAACGGGCTGCACTAGTAAACGTCAACATACTCATAAATCTAATCAAATATTATGAAACTTTTGCAATTCTTTACTTAATGTGTTATATATTTATATGGTATACCATACATACGCAAATATGTACATAAGTTGTTTGTGTAAGACAAATAGCGCTGCTGTTAGTGAAACTGTGTGAAATCTATTGCAATAAATTCAACTAATTTAACAAATTTAATTTAAATTTTTGGCGATGTGGCAGTTGTACGCTGTGATACGTTTATACTAATGCTTCTACGAAAAGTTTTCCTGTATATTTTATCCTGCAACATATTTTGTATATTTCGGTGGAGAATTATATTAATATTTTGAATTATTAGTCGCAGAAAATTTCCATGGTGGAATCTCAAGTATCGACAGAGCATCTTAACTCTCAATCCCTCTCTACTTAGGCGTTTTATTTCAATGCCCTTTAGTGTCCCTGGAAGGCAGAAAATATAAGATCCCAGAACTTTCAGCTTGAATCACGCGAATGCGGGATTGTCAACCAATTTTTTTTTATGTTAGTTGGTGTTTTCATATTTGTAAATTCCTTTGAATCTTTCAGTTGAGAGTAGTGACTTTGTATTTGTTTTACTGAGAATAGTTAGCATGATTCGTTTGATAACTTGTGGCTATTTTGAAGTAAATTTCATGATGTCATTCTCATTCTCTCGTCTCTTTTGGCGAAAAACCTCGAACAATTGAACTTCGCAAGCTTCTTTTGAGGTCAACATAATCATAATTCGTAGACAGAAACAGGTGCAATGCTTTGGTGCTAACTCTGAACGATAAAGTGGATGAACAAACAATTCAATCAAGTTTATGGAGCTTCTAGCAAGTCACTACCGATGTGTATGACCTGCTGTTGTTATGATGAATGGGCGATTACTTTCTTCATGCGTATGTAATTGTTGACAGTTTCCATAGGTCTAAAGTAGGAGACTGTAGGGGCACACAACTACAAAGCACATACATCCTGAACATTAATTCTGGCTTGGCCACAAATAGCTCATGCTTACCGCGATTCGATCACGACCTCTTCTGTTTGACGTTTTCTTAAGCAACCAGCTTTTTGTAACCTGTAACCATCCACTTTAGAAATGGATCGATTTTGTTGGGATTCAGCGGCGGTTAGCAGATAGAAATATGGCCTAAACTTTTTTCGTTAACTCGTGTGGCACTCATACATAAAGCTTCGTTTTGTATCCAGTCATATTCTAATGGTTCCAAACTGCTTTTTGAGCAATGCTTAGCTCTAGGCCAATCGAAACATTGACGGTCGACGATCTCTACTATTTGATCAGAATTTTCGACAATTGACCTTTAAGTATTTGGTGCAACTAAAATCACGGTCGATTGGCCAACAAGATCGTGTCACATCACACCATTAACCTTTTCCTGAGGGGATATATAAAGTCTAAAGTCTAAGCGTACAATCCCACTTCAATTCAGGCCTTGGATCAAATCATCACGCGTGTCATTCGCAAGTTATCACTCGAAATTCTGGAACGAGTCAACGGTTGGACCATTTGAGAAGTAGCCGCGGCCAACATTTGAGAGCGATAATCTTCAAAAAGTAAATGCCAAAGAACGATTTTTCGAATGATAATACGAGTAAACATTTCCCATTAAATTTAAAGTTTCTGTGTTTTTTCGTTAAAAAAATAGAAAACCTTGAAATGGATCACCTCTTAGTATCCAGACCATAAACACTATTCATATTGACCTGGCTTGTGTTGTTCGTCTTATTAAAGAAAAATTGTAAATGAAATATTTTCTCCTTGCCCATATATTAAGTTAAAACACTGAGCCAAGCAATCGCAAGACTTTCTGATACGTTTTTTAGCACTATGTCGTATATGTCTAGTGTCATGTATGCCACCGGACTTATACAATACGAGATATAGATTACTAAAGCCAGCTATTAAAGAAATAATGGATTTTTAATTAAACCTTTATCACTTATAGAACGACAAATCGTCAAGATAGTTCTTCCTAATAACTATTGAAGGATTCTTTCATGAGTAAAGTTCCTGAGATGGTTGCTCAAATTATCATGGGTTATAGAGTGAAATCTGTAAATATTTCACATAACCTATAATATAACATATATACATAACCTACACTTGTGCTCACATAATTAAGTCACGCCAGTAACAGAACGAAAGTTTATTCAAAGCAACTTCTATGGTACATAAATGAAACTTAATTTTACAAAAAATGGAAGAAATTTTAATTCAGTTCAAAACAGAATTCTTATTTTTTATTTAACTTCTAAAATAATAAAAATATTGCGTTCCTTAGCCCATCCATGTTGGTTTGCTCATATAATTAAGTCACCTAAAGAAAAATGTAGTTATTCGAAGTATACGACATTTTTTTGCAGTTTTACCTTACCTAAGACTAATACTTAGTTGGATAACCTTTATTACGTAACACCTCAATACATCGCTTAGGCATTGTTTGGACTAAAGTATCACATTGAGCGGGACTAATTTTGTACCACTCTGACTATATTATTTGCCATACAGAATCTTTGTTGCGAGGTTTTCGTGCAGCTACGGCTCTTTTTATAATCCCCCAATCCAGAATTTTAATATTTCGACTACGTATCCAAGTTTTAACGACCYRCGAGCAGTGTTTGGGGTCGTTATCGTGCTGGAAAATCCAAGCTAACGGTAAGTTGTCCACATAATCACCGTCTAAATTGTTCTCCAGTATTCCTTTGTACATTTCACCTRTCATTTTCTCGTCTATTTTAACAATCGGGCTAACGCCTGAYGACGTAAAGCAACCCCACACCATCASCGATGAACCGCCATATTTCACGGTTTTTTTAGTGTATTTGGGATTGAGTTCTTGCAAAGGGGGTTGTCTTACATATGGTTTCCCATCATTACCAAATACATTAAATTTGGATTCGTCACTCCAAACCACCAAATTCCAAAATTTAGAGTCCTTACAGAGATGGTCTTTAGCAAACGCTTTTCGCTTTTCAATATTTTTTTTTTTTTTTTTTTTTGAAACAATAGGTTTTCGTCTTGCTAAACGGCCATTCAATGAGTTTTCTTGTAGTCGTCTCGTACAGTTAGCGCAGATATTTGTACGCCGTGGTATTCCTCTAATTGAGCCCTAATTTCTGTGGAGGTTAAAAATGGATCAGACTTACTTAGCCTTACTAAGGCCCTATCGTCAGAACGGGTGGTCTTTCTTGGCTTTTTACGCGGTAAATTTTCAAAAGTCTTATTTTTTTTATAAAATTTAATAGCGTTATTAATTTTGCCTCGAGAAAATCCTAAAACATCTATAACTTCGGCAATATTTTGATATTTTTGAAAACATTCCCATATKACCCTTCTTTCGCTTGAAGTTGTGCTTTTATTCTTGCCCATGACGACGATGACTACAAATTTTGTTAAAAATAACTTAATTTAGTAAAAAAGAACAATATTGATGTAAATTGTGGCGAAAAAATTTTTATTTACCCGTTTCAAACAGAATGACTTAATTATGTGAGCATACTTTTATTGACAATAGATGGAAAATTCATTTAAACTCTCCCAAACGAAAATACTTGAATGCGCTGTAAATCGGTGGCGTTCCTAGAATAACGCAACTTTTTGCTCGCGCAATATTAGGGATGTTGCATAAAGAAATATATCTTGTTTTTTTACATATTGTAAAAAAGTACTGAATGACTTAATTATGTGAGCACAAGTGTATAATATTATTTATACATATAAATATATTAACAAACCTGTTCTAACTATAATTTTATGTTCTCAAACGTAGGAACAGTTGGTTTTTGTTTTTCAATTAATTTGTTTTGTAAATTAAAAAAAGTTTGTTTTTTGTTTTGAAATTGCATACTTTGATACACTTTATTCGGTTTACATATGAGTATTAACATACAGTAATTGTAATGTAGGTATTTATCGCGGTCAAACAGCCTTAAAATAACTAATAAAAAACGAGAATTGTAACGAATAACGAAGATAATATTTTAGTATGAAGAAGATGGTAAAGCGCGTGAATGTACATATGTATGAAATATAGAGATATTTGAACATATATAAATATTTATAGAAATATAATAACAAGCCAACGAGATTAACATATAATAATAATAAGCATTAAGCAAAGGSCCACGATGTCAACGTCCTTCGGCTGCAGCAGAGAGCGGAGACCAACTGAAGTGCGTATGTATGTATSTATGTGATTGAGAGTGTGTGTGTTAGCTACGACTACCACCACTACTACTACTTTAACGGTTGTTCTTACGGTATTTGTTAAAACGTTTACAGTAGAATTCCGTCTGCTGCCGTGCGAGAACACTTCAAACCCGGATACACTTTGCGGCATACTACCGTTAGGCGGAGCAAATGCCAATGCTTTTGTTTTGTTGGACGGTTTGTCTGTTTGTTTGGTGGTTTTGTTGGCTTGCAGAGGGCTACGAGTAATGTTGTTTGTAATGTGTAATGTTGTTGTTATTGTCATTCATTCAATCATGGGGTGATGGCAGCGGCAAGAGGTCGGCAACGGCAATACTTCACATTTTCTCATATGTGAATTGACTAAGTGTAGTATATTTGTCGTGCTTGTTGTTGTTGCAGAGTTGTTTTCCTTAAACATGCAGCACACGTCTAACCGTGATAGATGGGTGCAGCAAGTGGTGCGTGAGCAAGCGCTGGCAATCCTGGCAAAGCGCCCAAAGCTGGCAAGCCTGACAGAGCTGGAATGGCTGGAATGGCCTTCGCAATGACTGGTGCGTGCAATAGTGGGGCTGGAGCTAGAATCTTGGCAACTGGGGCGACAGCCTTAACGGCGAGAGGTTCGCGGCGAACGACTGCGTTAAAACCGTGCACTGGATCGGCAGCGTATTCGACAATGCGACGTGTGCCATCAGGCTCAATGAGCGAGTAGGCGCCCTGCACCACATCACCGCTGCGGTGTTCCTGTTGGCTCTTCACATCACCGGTAGCACCATCCTGGAGGAAAGGTGACAAAAAGCGAAAGTTCAGCGTTTAATTAGCCATTGCTAAGCGTGCTGTGTAGGCTTTAATGCGGCGCTCATACTCACATGTACGTCATAGCTGAAGCTATATTGTGGATTGGGGTCGTATGGCTCGGGAGCGGCCACCTTGGCGACGGCAAGTGGCGCGGCGTACTTGGTGATGGCGGGCAGCACAGGCGTAGCGATTTTCGTCAAAGCTGGCAGTGCAGGCAAAGCGGGCAACGCCAGACCAGGGTAACCGTGGCCTGGCAGGACGGCGACGGCGCTAGCGGCGGCCACCAAAGCGCTGAGAATGATCAACTGCAAGTAGAAAAAAAGTGTCAACAAGCGTTAACTTTCTGTTCTAAGCAGCAGCTGCAGCAGCAGCCAGTTGCTTGGACAGCAGTTGTGCAATTTTGCTAATCCTTCGGCGGAGGTGCGTGCGTGAGCACACACACACACCCACAAGCAGACACACTTGCCTTTTGTACCATGATTGCTTGACTGTTGCGTTTGACAAATGAAATTACTCTGTGGTTCTATGCAAGATCAGCTATTGCTTTATATAGGCGCAGCAGCCAGCCGATTTTGCTGCCACTTCGCAGAAAATGTGTGCATTGAAATTTACGCCCGCTTGTACTTGCCATTTGGCTGATGCAAGCGACAAACAACAGTGAAAAAAACAACAACAACTCCAACAACAACAATACAATTTATACATGTCTTTATGCAAAAGTGAGAAAAAAGTGCCAGACAACAGCAGCAACAACAAGAGAACACAAAGGCGTATTAGACGCATAGAAAAAATGTATCTTTGAACGAAATTAAAATAATTCATTTTTCGTCGTTATGGTGAAGGCGACGCCGGTGATGGTGGTGACGGCGGAGCCTTAGCTGAATGCTGTGCGCGTTGAGTGGTGCTGAGCGCGGAGGCGGCGGTGGCCACGTTCGTGATTTAGGCATAGGTTAGGCGCTTATGCGCTTAGGCCTATAACAACGCCACTGCAACGAATGCGACATAACAACAACAACATATCTGCCAACAACAACAATGAAAAATAAGAACAGCAAATGGCAAGAGCACGCATGCCACCAAGAAACAAGCCCCACACACACCCATCTCGTAACTGGTGCACTGTGCCAGTCTTAGCCTCAGCGGTTTGGCGGCTTGCTGGCTTAGCAGCGCTGTAAGTTGCATGCCCCACAGGCGTCGCCCAAGTGCACATACAGTGGACAGTGTGTACGCACGCGTTTGCGCATGCAATTTTTCAGCCGCCGCGAGGTGGCAGGGCATTTTTTTCCAGCGCCGCCACTCCATATACCAGTTACGATACCGTACGTAATGCACAATTTAGGCCTATTAAGCCACCACTGCGGCAGATCGAACGCGTGTCGAACAAGTCGAGTAGTGGACAAAATACTAACGATTAAAAAATGCAAATACTAGCGCATACACACACATATACTCATACACAAACGTACATGCATATACATAGTCCGTTAGGGGCATGCATTTCGTTGGCGGCTCCTTTCGTTGTCACTGATTGCGGCCGCTTTGGCTGCACCCCTCAATGCTGGCGGTTGGCGGCTGGCGGCTTCCGCCTTAAATGCTCGCCTTTAATTGACAAATTTAACTTAGCATTTCGTTTCGGTTTTAATTTAAAAGCAAAAGTCCCTAAAATCACGCAATGCTTTAAGTATTCTAAGTAAAGTGCCTTAGTCGTTCGTGCTGGTAATTAGTTTTAAGCTTCGTGTCACTTAAGTGTGCCGAATGTGTTTAGAAATGTCACGAGGTGTGCCGCTGCGCATAACGAAATCAATAAATAACATATGCATCTGTTGCACAGCTGTTAAAATAATTTAATTAACATCTTAATCTTAGAGCTTTGATTAAAGTTCTGTCCCGCTATAAGAACTTCCTTCGGTCTTAAGAGTAAAAGCATTTTGCAAGATAATCTCAAATAGTTGTCTGGCTCTGTATATTGTTATTCCATTAGTGTAAATCGAAATTTCCAGAACGGAAGCGAGTGAACCATTGTTGTGCTTCACAAACAAATTCAGCATCGTTTCTGTAAACTTCACAAATTTCATTGGTGTCTTGAGAGACGTTCTTCCCTTTTTTATACAAACATTTCAAAATGCAGCGAATTTCTTCATTATTTTCACTCGATTTTGAACAGCTGTAACATTTTTTTTCAACTTCCCTGATTTTTTTTTTTTTTTTTTTTTTTGAATGAACTTAAAATATTACCTTTCCAGTATTATATGGTATGTCACAATGTGATTGGTAGCACTGGAGATATACGACTGCAACAACATCTATTGAAGAAATACGAAAAGAATTTTTCGACTATCCAATGTTATCGAACTAATTTCAGACTTAGGAGAAAATTACTCGCACCACCGGAAGGGAGCGTCGACGAGCGTGACAAGCTGGTCTGTCTGTCGGCCTGATTGTCTGTATATATTCGAACTAGTTCCCCTAAATTTTTCCTCGTGTCCTTTACTCCCAAAGACGCTGCTCGTTTGTTGGAAGCGCCGATATCGGATCCCTAAAGCTGCCATACGAATTGATAAAGCTTCGTATGGAAATATTCCATCAAAGTTAACATTTTTTCGTATTGTGAAATTATACTGAGTTATTGGAACTTGTTATTCAATATTAAAATATTTAATGACCGAAATATGAATTAATGTTCTCAAATAGTGACACAAACCTTAGTCAGAGCAATGATGATTTCCAAGCACTTGATCCCATGTTTGATTCATGATTGCTAATTTTTTTTTAATATTCTCTACCCATGCTCTTGCATACGATATCTCTGCAGAAAGATATCTGACGGGAACGAATAGCTCTTATTATTGTTTTCTAAAACCAAAATTATTTCTTTTCAATACGCACAAATATTGGCAATACTTCACTAAGAAGTTCAAGGTTATCAGTAAGGCTGAATGGATTGATTTCAACTGCTTAGGGATAGTACAATCAAGAGGTACACTGACGGCTCGAAAACGTTGGAGGGAATTGGAGTCGTAGGACCACGCACCAAACTATCCATACCTTTGGGAAGTTTTCCGTTCATATTTCATGCAAATATTCTTGCCGTAAGTAAATACGTAGAGATAAACCTCCAATGCAACTATCTCAACGAACTTATAATCATACATAACGACAGTCTAGCGGCACTCTGCCTTCGAGATAAAATCGCTACTGTTGATGGAGTGTAGATAACGGCTGAATAGTCTCTCGAAACGTAACTAAGTGCACCTTATATGGGTGGCCGGTATATTCGTATATTCGCTCACCCGCTCCGCAGTGACCACTAACATGGTAGGACTTGAACCCTTCATCGCGATTCGTGTTATACCATAAAGAAGGTGTTCCGCAATTAAGAAGATATAAGTAGGGAGAGGCATTGGCAACAACTCCAAGGCATCCATCGTGCCAAGTTGCTGATGGGTGGTTACAATTTAAATATGTAATTAACCTATCAAGGGACAAACTCAGGCCTCTTGTGGCATTCTACACTGGCCATTGTAAGCACAAGACGTACTATATAATATGGGCACAGCATCTTGTGTAAATTTCGGGTTCTGTGACTGAAACTGCCGAATACCTACTAATTATTTTCACATCAGTCTGCTGACGCAGGATAAAGGCCCTTGGATCCATGTTCCCAAATAGGGATCACATCGCCTGATTAGCACCTAACAGTATATTGGAACTTTTCAATATGCTGGAGCGAAGTGGGTCATTGTGACTTAAGATATGGCACAATAGAAATTAGGTCGCGGTACAATCCTCATCTCTTCATCCCAGACAGATAATGAACCATTCGATAGTCAATATTTTGTTTTTGGAAATAGTGATTGGAAATCGCAGTTCGTCGTAAACCACCAGATTTAAGGGCAGAAAATTCATTGAGTTCTCATCACAATGACATTCTAGCATTGTAGTGGGTGAATTTTTGCCAAATACAAAACGAAAGTCATCTCTCAGGTACCTTATTCTCCAGATTTGACTCACTGTGAAAAACTGAAAAATCCGTTTCAGGGAATGCGTCAAAGCAAATCCATTAAAAGTCAGTTTCTGAAGTCACTAAAGGCCATCCCAGACGAAGCTCGTAACAAGTTTGTGGAAAATTGGATGCAACTTTTGCTCAAAAGAAGCCTCTTTTTAAAAACAATCTTCTATTACAATACGTGAAAAAGTTTTCAGTCAAGGTCTGCGAAATTACGAATTGTAGGGAACTTGATAAAATAATACTCTATTTCATGAATTTTTTTCCAAAATATGCTTTTATTCTCCAACAGCGTTAATTTGTTTGCACATGCGCGTGTGCGCAAACGTCAATTTTCCTTTCAATTAGCTGTCTGAATATTTCGCACAAATTTTTTCCAAGCAATTGCTTGTCTACTCACTCCTTTGTAATGTTCAACATAAATAAGTATATATTTTTTTCTTTTGGCAAAAAGTATTGAAATTCGCTTGTTGCCAGCGATTACGTCGTTGTCAACATTTTGCCGTCTTCTTTTTTCTTGCAACATGCACTTGCATAGGTAAATAAGCGCGTACATATGTACATATATGTATATCTAAGTGTTTGTATACATTGTTGTAATAGCAAGAGTATCATATGAACGAACATACATATTTATGCTTGAGGCAATTTTCTTGGCATGCCACTTGTGCGAATGCAATTAGATTCAAACTGACAGTTTAACAACGAAATCCACCATAAATTGCCACTGAGTGGTGCTTGAATTTATATTGCAGAATTTGGTGATATCAATTATTTGTGATGAATTCCAATAAGATTACTTCCCCAATCAGTTTCAAAATGCTAATGTAATTTATGCCAAAAATAGAAAGGATTACCGATTTCAAGTTTCAATGACTCTTTCGAGCATATCGACAGGTTATTGGCGAATAGCACTCGTCATTACTCCAAGACCTGCATCGAAGCGAGATTGTCCGCATAGACTTTAGATTTTACATATCCCAAAAAGTTTAACGGTGTTACACCACACGATCTCGGTGGCCAATCGACTAGCCCAAATCGTGAAATTATCTGCTCACCGAAGTGTGTGTGTTGAGGCGATTTGTGGAAAGTGGCGCTGTCTTATTGAAACCGAATATCGCCAAGATCACGAGATTCAATTTCAGGCACCAAATAGTCGGATATCATAACGCTATAACGGTTATGTTCTCACCGCCATCAATGTAGAAACAGCAGCTCTTGGATCTGCTCTTCGTCTCAAATGCGGACTTTCGAATCGAAGGAAGGTCTTAAAAACCCTCATAAATGCTCTAATTGCTATTAATTACTTAGTTAATTCAAATCTCATTCAGGGATTCTCTAACTTTTTTAACCTGTCCGAAAAATCTTCTTTTCTGGAGGTAGACCTCCATGGCAGCTATAAACTCCTCATGCAGCTCAAGTTTTTCTCTGGCGAGTGACTTATTCAAATTTGGAAACAAGAAGGAAGTCGCGCGGAGTTAAATCTGTACGAAACCGTT